TCTGACGAGCGCACACGCCCTACAGTGAAAATCTCTCCAAAAAAAAAAAAAAAAACATCCATTCATCAGCTGTTGTCTCTTCCATAAGTTTTAGCATGAGAGGATTCTAAACCAAATACAGAAACTACTTGGGTTGTATGGATTCAATGTTAGGGAAAAAATAATACTTCTAAGTGACTGATAATATAGCTTGGAAAAAGATTGTTTTTGGTTCAAGAAATAAGCACTTTTGGACTACACTCTTCTGAAAGAGAAAGGGAAGGTCACCTTTGCACATTTACTGGGTATACTGAAAACCACTGATCAACAAATTCTATCATTTTGTAGCAGAGCACCAAGATTTTTACCACGTCTAAGGCTAAAGGTCTCCAATTAGCAGATCTCGTAGAAAATCTTCCTATGTTTGACACAAAGTCACTATGACAAGCAGAAAAGAATACATGACTAGTGTTTTCATTTAGCATGTTTTAGTTGACAAGTTTAAGAGTTGCTTAATTCTCAGTCATGAATGACAGAAATTGAGCTGTTCTGGCACGAGAATACATATATGTACTACTATAGACTGGGGAGTTAAAACTACTCTGAGTAGGGGCCAGCAGGTGGTGTGGTAGTTAAGGCACTGGACGCTCACATGGCCAGGTGTGATTTTAGTCCCACATCTGGCAGCTTAAAACTCATGCTGGGCATATGTGTGTGCCCAGAATCCTCAGAGAAGAATAGAGAAGAGATTGTGGCCATCCCCACTGGAGGGTGATTTCTCACTTTCCTTTTCTCTCTGTCTCTGTCTTTCTCCAGTGAGTGCATGTACCCTATGGCAAAAATCATAAAAACAAAAGCAAACAAACAAAAAACTACTCCGAGTTGAGACTATTTGGCAATATACAGGATGAGATAGTAAGAATCAGAACAAATCTTAAAAATATATACCTTGAGAGAAAATTGCTTACAATTAACATCTTGAGAAATAATTAATTTATTGTCTTTATTGCCTTTAGAGAAATTTCACACATCACACTTGACATGCAGCCTTGTCACATCCCATTTATTCCTTGTTTTGACCCAAAGCAGCATTATCTAGCTTGACTGTTTTCACAAATCTTCCTGACAGGATGAATATGATTGTATTGGTAATAATCTACCAAATATGCCATAAGCACTAGAGACGATCCTCAGAAAAGATTCTGTATTGAATAATAGCACCATTTTTAGAATGTGTACAACCCTGCAAGGTAAATGCTTTCAGAGGGCAACACTTGTCTACAGAGCTCTGATATCCTTGGTTAACACTCAGACACACGACTTTAGAATCATGCTTCATAGAATTACTAGAAGAAAAAATGCAGTTCAATCTACAAAGTTAGGATAAAGCTTTCTGTGGATAGCCAATGCCTATCTGTATACAAGAGGCTTTTAGTTTCACATGCTGGCACCATTTACACCACTTTTTAAGGGCCTTCTTTAAGAGATGAAAAATGATTTTGTCATTGTATATATCATATGCACAGGGAAATGAAAAAATATTATCGAAGGCATCGGAAGTTGTTTATTGATTTGCCTGTCAGCATCTCTTAGTGTGCTTGGGTCTTGCAAGCTCAGGGAGGACTATGAGGTCAGGAAAATGTGCACAGTTGTACATATCAGCAGTGTATCCAGAAACAGGACAGAGGATGCTGAAGGTGGCAGGGAGTTTCCAAAAAAAGGGCTGATGGGTCATCAAAGATGTTGAATTATTTATTTTGGTTAGCTCCATAATGTTTACCCTAGGAAGATCAACAGTCAGACATTTTTTTAAAATGTCTTTCTTTAACAGTTCTGAAGGTTGGAGATTTAAGATTTTCTTTATGCCCAAAGCACTTAATCCACTATGTAAGAAGGACTCAATGTTAGAAGAATTATTCCTTTTGAGAATTTCCCAATGATTTATAAAGGGTCATTTATTTCCCAGCAAATCCCACCTATGAGCTGTATAGCCTAGTGGCTGAAAACAGTCTTCAAACCTGACTATTCATTATCTGTGTGACCTCAAGAAAGTTTTTGAACCTATTTGTACATCAGTTTTCTCATGTCTAAGTTGGGAGAAATGATATTTTCTTACATGGGTGATATGTGATACCACAAGTAAGAGAGACTGAAGTTAGAGAATAAGTATTGGATAAACGTTAAGTAGTTAGTATCCATTAGTTATGATTTCCATTTTTATGATCAGAAGTCTGGCCTCAGGGAGGGTAAATTACTGTGAACTTACTCTACTGCTGGACAGTGGAAGAATGAGGAATAACTCTTTTAGTTGCCCAATATTGTTTATGTTAGAATTTAGGACTTACTCTAATTCCTCGCCTATATAATAGTAGCCCTTGTTTCAAAGTAGTATTTTGGTCCCAGCTGCAGTGGCACAGTGCTAGATGAAACACTGCACAATGCTGGAAGTCATAGAAAAGATCTGGGTTCAGTTCCAGGATCACCTTGTAAATGATGGGCATGCATGCACACCTGTGATCCTGGCTGGCTAAGAAAGGCTAGGAGGCATGGTGTGTGACCTTGTTGAGAATGTTTGATGCTCTTTACTTCTTTCTCATGACATAAATAAACTCAAAAAATAATATTTTTATTATTTGTGGCTCTTTCCATGATAAGCATAATAGTCAACTAGTTCTAGACTCTGGGCTGATAGTGATCTCTTTTCATTCTCTATACAGACCTAAGACATGTTACTATCATCCCCATTGACAGAGAAGTTCATGAGCTGCTTGGGGTTATATAGCTAAGAATGTTCAGGTAAGAATTTGAACCTAAAGTCATTCAAATAAAAATGTCAACACTTAGCATTAGAAAGTAGTCTCATAGGGGCCAGCAGGTAGCATTGTTAAGGTGTTGGACTCCCACATGGTTGACCATGGTTTGAATCCCAGACCTGGTAGCTTGCTTTCTCATTTTCTCTCTCTCTGTCTCTGTCTCTCTTTCTCTCTCTCCCTCTCTCCCTCTTTCCTTCTCTCTGGTGAGCACATGTGCCCCATATCAAAGTAAATAACAATAATAATACATAAAATAAATAATGAAAAGGAAGTAGTCTCATCATTTGTTTTAAAATGAGCAGCAAATTGCTTGTGTTAACAAAGGAATTCTGTAAACCATACACATGACCCCATTCCATGTCCATTCCTCATCATTTATCATCAGAAAAAAAACAAAAAAACAAAAAACAAAAAACAACTTCTCCAGTGGATAAGAGCTTTTGACTCTTTATTGAGTCTAAGTTTTCCTCAGCCCAATGTAGATGAAAGGTCATCTTGGACACAGTCTGTGGTGTTCGTGGCATGCTTTGCTGAGCAGTAGCCATGAAAACCACTCTAGGAATGTTACTGGAATTGGGCTCTGCAGCATCATGCTGTCCTTACACATTGTTCTGACATGTAACGTGCTGTCTTTGTGCTTGAACAGATAATGTAGACCATGTACAAACAATATGCAGACTTCCTTTCTTGCTTCTAGGAAGTTTCTTCTTTCAAGTTCCCTGGAAACCTGGGCTTACCCACCAGAGTGTGCTTGCGAGGCACAAGGCTGTCTCTTCACACTGTTCGTATTTGGGGCAGGATAAAACCTCTATTCTTTGGTAGTCAAACTTCATCCGGTAACCACAGATTTTTTTTTTCCCCCTCTGTAGTCATGATGACCTCATCCTTTAACACTTAACTCAGGCATGATTTTCTCTAGGAGCTTTCTCCAACTTTCTCTTGTAAGATACCCAACCTCTGAGCTCTTATATCATTACTCTTCCCATCTGCTATTAAAATGGTAGTTTTAAGGCCTATCACCCTGTCCTGACTGTGCCTGTAATCAGGAATCACATGTACCATATGGAGTCATAGCAGGATCTACTATGATGAGTTGGATATTTAGTCATTCCAGTTAGTTGGTGTGGGTATAGACTGCTTGTTTAATATTCCTACTATCACCTTTAGCCTCATTCCAATACTCAGCATAATCACAATATCTTGCATATAGAATATATGTACTCAAGAAATACATATTGACTTAATGATTGAGTTACTGTTTGGATGAATGAACATTGGGAATTTCAGAATCTGACTGACAACTAGACATGCCACTAAAGGCATGAGTTTTAACACAACATTCTTTTTGTTTGTTTAATGAGGAAAATTCTTTATACATATATATGTATATATATATATACACACACATACACATACATATATATACATATATATAGATGTATTTACACACACATACATAAACATACATACATACATTTATTTACTGTTTGTAAGCTTGTCAGAGGGGAGCATGCACTTGCCAGAAGGAGACAAAGAGAGAGAGAGGAAGTTAGAAAGTTAGAAACTAGCAGGTGGCATGGTGGTTAAGGAGCTGGACTCCCTCATGGCTGAAGGGCTGAATGTGGTTCAAGACCTGGACCTAGGTGAGTGTACATGCATGTTCAAACTCCTGAGAGGAGAATGCAGAAGGGACTGATTGGTGGCTATCCCCCCAGGGGTGATTTTCTACGTTCTTTCCCTCTGTCTCTCTCCAGGGAGCACACGTGCTCTATGGCAAAAACAAACAAACAAAAACAAACAACACCTGCCCATGGGGAACGGTCATGCTGCAGTTCCTTTTCCACCATATCTCCTTCCTTTCAAGATTTTGGGCACTCATGTACACATGCCTAGTGTGTCTCTCAAGCCACTAGGTCTGAATTGCATGCTTGACCATGTGGGATCTAGCTGCCTTTACTACCACACCAGGGACTGGTACAATGCAAATTCTTAGTAAGAAAAAACCTTTGATCATTACACATTCTGATGACAATAATGCTCTATAAAGGGACACAGCTCTTGCCCAAGTCAACCAGGCTTTGTGAAGTCTTCATATGAATCCATCAAGACTGTGATCCTGTCACAATATAAACATCATGGGAACCATAGCATCATGATCAATCTAAATGGTCACTAGGAACTTTGTATATGAAGTAGTAGAGTCCTTACCTGTCTATGTTGTTGGGAGACTTGATATCCCAGTCCTGTGATGGACTGATTCTGCATTTTTTGAAGCAGGATCTTTTGCTGGATTGGCAAGGGTGACCTTAGCAAAGGCTGGCTTGATAAAGGTTGGCTAGATTGGGATGGTGGCTGTTGCTGTTGCTGCTGCTGCTGCTGCTGCTGT